AGCTCCTGTAACAGTGCCAGGTAGCAGGAACATGCCTACTCTGCTCCTCCAAGCTATCCAGATCTTGTCCCAGGACACACCATTTGGAAAAGCCTCCAGATAGAACAGCTTTACCATATTCTGCCTTATGGGGACTTCTGGTCTGAGCAAGGACCTTGTCGTCAGGCAGTAACCCTGCAGTCCAGCCTGCTTTCCTTGGGAGGTCCAGAGGAGATGTGAAGGACTGCTGTAGGCTTTGAGCCAGGCCTCTCCGCGGTACTGAAATTCAGCCTTTTCTGGCAGCGCTGGGGAGTAAGCCCAGGCCTCAAGGACGCTAAGCAAGTGACTACTATCACAGAGGTACACCCCAGGCCTGTCCCACTTTTTTCTTTTCACGGCAAGGTCTAAATTGCCCAGGCTGGCCTCACATTTGTGATTCTCCTGCCTCAGACTCTCAAGCAGCTGGGATGACCCCTACCCTACAGTTACAAGGTGATACCATCAATTCAAATACACATTTTCTGTTTTCAAGCATCTCAGCACTATCAGTATGAACCTGGAATCTGGTGCTGTTTCAAGTTTTGTTTGATGAACAACTCTCCGAATCTATTAGAAATGACTCCTTTGACTCCTATTTCTGAAAACAAAAATTTGTTTTCCATATATTTGTTTTAAATAAATATTAATATGCAATTAAATTTACACCACACTTCACAAATACCATTAATATTTATACTTTATTTAAAAGCTTCCAAAGCCAGGTGTAGTAGTTCATACTTGTGATTCCAGCACTCAGCAAACTGAAGCAGGAGGATCATAAGTTCTAGACCAGCCTGGGCTTAGTGGCTTAGGGAGACCATGCCTCAAAATAAAAGAATCTGAAGAAATAGCTCAGTGGTAAGGCCCTGGGTTCAATATCCAATATTGGCCCTCCCCTCAAAAAGAGTTCTCTGGAAGTTGGGCAAGGTGGTACACACTTCTTGGGAGGAGCCAAGTAGCTACTGAGGCAGAAGGATCACAAGTTCAAGGCCAGTCCAGGCAATTTAGTGAAACTCTATTTCAAAATTTAAAAATGTGAAAAGGACTGGGCCTGGTGGCACACACCTACAATCTCAACACAAAGGCAGGAGGATCATGAGATCCAGGCCAACCTGGGCTATATACATAGCAAGACCCTGTGTCAAAAAACCGAAATAAACAAACCAAAAAGGGCCAGGGGGGAGCTCAACAGTAGTGTGCCCTCAAGCTGGATCCCTAGTACCACAGAAAACACACAAACAAAAACATAAAAAAATTAAAATGCCCCCAAAATTAATTCAAAAAGCCCTCACACAGGTCCTCTCCATCTGGAGAGTAAAACCTAAACCCCTGAGTCTGAAATTTGTGAGCCTCTGTGACCTCCCTACCGCTGGCCTGCAGCGCACGGTTCCCTGGCCAGTGGAAGAAAGGAGACCGTCTACCTACTGCACCTGCCTCAGTGCTACGACACCCAGGAGTGTGAGCCTCACACTAAGTGGCACTACAACCCCACGGCGATCACTGAACTTCTGTTTTCTCATAATAAAGCAAGAATTGGCTGGTGTAGTGGCACATGCCTGTAATCCAGCACTCCTGAGGCTGATGCCAGCCTGGCCTACACAGCGCATTCAAGACCAGCCTGAATTGCAGGGACCTGCAAGACTCACTGTCCCGAGCAAGCATAGCAGGTGAGGGCAGAGGTCAAAGGAGAGGTTATGCCAGCCCACCCTCGAGCAGTCCCACACCAGCACTGGGGGTCAGATGCTCGTGTTCCTGCGCCCACCCTCTGCTGTTTCTGTTTCCCACCCCCCTGGAGAACTCATCCCCTTTCCTACCATTTATACACTCATTAATTCAACCAAAAACTTCTGTGGTTCCGAGGATCAAATCCAGGGCCTCATGCACTCTAGGCAAGTATTCTACCACTGAGCCACATCTGATGCCCCTGCTCTTTGATTTTTAAGTGCAGCTGATTTTTCTCATTTTACCTTAAGTGACATCTGGCCAGGGAATAGCTGGCACAGTCTTAAAACCACAGGAGCAAGCAGGAAGCTGGGCCCACTGTGATCCCAGCTCATGCGTCAGGTAGCAGAAGTTCCTTCCTGCAGATGAGCTTCAGGGAACCCAGGAAGCTGCCCACGACCATCTCCCTATTCCATTTCACATTTAGCTCACTAGCCAAGTTCTTCCAAGGGGAAGAAAAAACAAAAAAAACAAAACTTCTTCCCCAAGAAGCATGTTGCACTGTGACTGCCAGGCTGGGTGCCTACTGACTCAGAGAAAACCCAGGGCAGGGACTGTGTGTCCTTATGCCTGGTCCTCCAGCGCCTTCCATGGCCCTAACCTGTTATGAATGATCCAAGACATTGTATAAATGAACCACAGCCTGGTTTGTGCCCTCCTGGGCCCACTAGAAGTCTAATGCTGGGTGTACAGCAAGGACTGAGCTATGATCGCCAAGTTTTCTTTAGTTACACAGCATCAATGCTGAATTCTTGGAAGGAAAATATTAATTGAGTATTGACTCTGCCCCAACATTACTACCCTAGAAGTATTGTGCATTAACCAATTGTGTCACTGGGGCCACAGTCACAGACACTTTCCTAAGTGCTCTGCATGTGCATCTCATTTTATAGACGAGGCCACTGGCATTCTGAGATATTTGAGAGGTCAAGTGGCTTGCTCAAAGTCACTCATTAATCAGAGGTAGGGCAGGAGTCAGGCCCCAAGGATCAGACCCAGGGGCCTGCACTCTTAACCTGTGTTCCACTGCTGCCACCACCGCTAACAGCGTAAAAGGGGTAACAGGGGACTCTACATAAGCAGAAACTCAGAATGTGCACAACCCCACAGGCTTGTCCCTCGGCTGCTCTCTGAGTACAGTTCCTGCAAGGAGGGGTGGGTAGCGAGAACCAGCAGAACCAGAGGGGAGAGTCCTGCTCTTCTGGCAATAGCTCTGAAGGCTGGGAATGTGTACTGGGGGGTGGGGTAAATGGGGGGGATGTGTGTGTCAAGAACCAGATACCAACTGTAGAAAATGTTGGGGCTGGGGATTTAGCTCAGGGGTTCTGCCGCCTGCCTCGAAAGTGCAAGGTCCTGAGTTCGATCCCTGATACCAAAAAAGGTCGGGGGATGTAACAATTATCTATAAGGACACAGGATTATGTATTTTTGAATATCTACATAAAGCAGCCACTCTCACCAATTACAGCTGAGAGTAAAGAGCTGTCTCTCACAGTGGAACCAGGAGAAACAAAAAGAAGGACCTCTGGGATCACAACAAAACATCTGTAGACCCAACTTAGAAACTCGTTACTCTGTTTAGGGTGACTTTTATACTAAGGTGATTGTAAACCCAAAGGTAAACCCTACACATGGCAGGGTAGGGATGTGGCTCAGGGTACTGCGCTTGCCTAGCAAAGTATAGCGTCCTGGGTTTGATCACTAGCACCGCCAAAAATAAATAAATAATAACAATAAATCACATATCCTCAGTATCCTACAATTCAGTTTTACCATAGAGAAGTCCTAGACCCTAAAATCTAAGGATAACTTAAAAGTCCTGAGACAGAGGAATGAGCACCTCTCAGAGTCTTCTCTCTCTTTTTTTAGACACAGTGTCTCGATGTGTAGTTTAGGCTGACTTCCAACTGCCATCGATCCTCTTGCCTCAGCCTTCCAAGAGCTGGAATTTCAGGTGCAAATCATCTTTTCTAACTTGGAGATTCTCAGAGGTGCTGGATCCCAGAACTCTTGGTTACACTTGCATTCTGAACTGGTGTTTGATGGCCTCTTTGCTTGCCTACCTCCAGAAAGGCGGTCCACCAGGCAAAAACTGCTCAGTTTCCATTCAACAATCAGGCAGGGTGCACAGAAACCAGCACCTTCATTCCTATAATTACTCTTCCTTGGTCATCCTCATTAGCTTCCCCTCAACTGCTGCCTACCTGTGGAAAAGGGGAACACAGGGCTGGATGAGAACCCCAGCTGTCGGTTTTGGCCTGAGCTCTGCAACTGGTGTCACTGATTTTTTTGGGCAAGCACATTTTTCTGAAGGTCCTTTTCCGGTTTACTTCAGAAGGTTGTGTTAAATAAAAAAGGGAAACATTTAGAAAAGTTAATGGCATCTAACGATATAAGGTTTATTATCATCTCTGACCTTTCCTCCTGCACCTGCAGAAATGCACCATGTTGACAACAGTCTGGCCCCAGAGAAGTGAACGTTGGTAACTGTCCTCAGCCCAAATGGACAGCCCTGACCACCTTCCAAAGTCAATAACTGGCGACTATCCACAGCTTTAGAGCATATTTACTCTTCTGCTCCTATCACTGATATAAAAAGAGCTGACCATATTTAGCGCTGTTTTACTTGGTTTTGTTTCGGTGAGTCAGACGGGAACTGTTTCTTCCCACCCTTGCCTTCTTCCCATGTTGAGAGTTCCCCAAAGACAAAGATCGCTACCCTTTTTGGCCACGCAGCTCTCTCTAAATGAGTCCTTCCCTCACCACCCATGGCACCCAGCCAAGAATAGGCAATCTCCAAGGACGGGAACCATGTCTTTGGGCTGTCTTTCCACGCCTCGAGGGAGATGACTCAATGGGGGGGCACCCTAAGGGACTGAAATATTCTGTAAAGTCCAAAAACAAATTAAAATGTCGCAGGTACCTTCTAATAACTGATCTCCGTAGGTGGCGCGTGCAACAGACAATGGGACTTTAGTGGTGGTAGAAAATTCAGAGCACCAAGGGACAGCCAGATCCAAATTTGTATACTGATTTTTGTCACCTCCGAGCTGTGTGCCTGTACTTTACCAACCTCTCTAGGCCACATTTTCCAGTCTGTGACGTGGGACCCAACTCCCAGATTGTTTGAGGACGGAATGGGCTCAGACGCGAAAGCAATCCCCGGGGCCTGCACTGACGCGCTCACTGAGGGGTCGTCGCGGAGGCTTCCGGGATAAAAAGAGGAGCCGTGGGCGCGGCGAACTCAAGGAGCCCAGTACCTGGAGGCCGAGGCGGGGCGACTCCGGGTAGGGGAATGCACACCGCAGTCCGCCGCCTTCCCGGAGGTCGGGGCCGTCCAGCAGCCCGCCGAAGAAGGCCCGCAGTCTGGTTTCTCAGAGGGTCCTCGGGATGGTAACGGTCCTTAATCGCAGCCGATAACGGCTCCTCTGCGGCCCGGGGAGGGCCAGCGGCGACATGAAGACAACCGACCTGGACCCTCCACGCCCCCAACCCGAAGCCAGCACTTACTGCAACTTCCGGCAAGCCCCGCGACCGCGGGCCTCTTCCCCTCAGAGCAAGGCCGCATGCCGTGCTTCCGCGAGTGCGCCGAACCTCGTTGCCTTCTGGGCATTGTAGTCCACCTTGTTCAGATTTCCAGAAATGAGCTACGCTCTTTCCCCTAGAAAACTACAACACCCAGAAAACAGCGCAAGCCACCCTAGCCCAATAGGAGCGTCCTATGTAACGGGGCGCGGAGCCCAGCGCTGGCAGCTCAAGATGGCGGACGAGAGTGAGACAGCAGTGAAGCTGCCGGCACCTCCGCGGCCACAGATGATGGAAGGCAACGGGAACAGTCATGAGCACTGCAGCGATTGCGAGAACGAGGAGGACAACAGCTACATCCGGGGGTAACGAGATCCTCGGATTCCAGTTCCCATCCAGTCTCCCACCGCTTGGGTCTAGGGGTGCGGGGAAGTCACCGGGAGCTTAGTCTAACCCCACCTCCATGTTCTTATTGGCTAAGACATTAGGATCCTGCCCACCGATTGGTTAGTGCCTTTGTCATTTACCACGGGTGGGCGCTTGTTATATTGAGAGCCGGAGACATTCAATACTTTTATTATATAAAAGTTCTCCTGTGTGATGTTCCACTCTTATTCTTCAGGCTCGTTCAGGGGAAAGAGCACGTTAAACGATGTTTTTCGGTCACACTACACGGACAATCTAGTAACTACAGTCCTGGGGGAACGTTACTTACAGAGGTGTTGTATGAACAACGTGACTAGTAATAAACGAGTAATAAAACATATCCCAGTAGTTCACTTTCAATAAGGAGATTCGCCAGGCTGTACAAACTATATATATAATTATGTTGTAAAATATCTCAATCAGAGAATCCCAAAATAGAAACTCACCTTATAAACACAGTGTAATTAATCGAATGATAATGTTTTGGCTTATACGACGTTGCCCCAAATAATCCGTAAATTTCCTGAACAATGTATAATTAGGTCTTGGAGCATCTTCCTCTGTTAACTTTGCGAAACCTTCAAGAAATTGATCAATGCTTCTTGGACAGTATTCTGTGCTTGTGGGTTCAATACTGCTATCGCACATTAGG